CGCACTACTTCAGCGCGAGCGGCGACCCCTACCTCGAGGACACGGTCTACCACTACGTCGTCGCCGGCGACGGCACCGGGTCCGTGGTCGTCGTGCTCCCGGGCTGGCGCGAGACGTGGTGGGCGTGGCGGCGGACGGCGTGCGGCCTCGCGGACGAGGGCCACACGGTGCTTTTGGTGGACCCCAAGGGCCAGGGCGAGAGCGACGCGCGGCCCGACCTCGACTACGGCGTCGAGGCCGGGGCGCGCGAGCTCGGCGCGCTGCTCGACGCGCTCGGCGTCGGCGACTTCGGGCTTTTAGCGTCGGACGGCGGCGTCGCGCTCGGCGACCGCCTCGCCGCGGACCGCGGCGTGACGCGCTACGTCCGCGCGGCGGCGCCGGCGTTCCAGGACGTCGAGGAGGCCGTCGACGCGGCCTTCTACGCGACGGCCGACGGCGCCGCGGTCCTCGCGGCGTCGGGCTCGACGGACCTCGCCGCGGACGCGGTCGTCGCGCCGCCGGACGCGTGGCTCGACGCGCTCCAGGGCGACGCCTTCGACCGCGCCGGGCGGCCCGAGGCCGCGGCCCTGGCCTTTGGCGCGCGCGGGTCCGTCTACGCGACGTCGGAGACGCGGCGCGAGATCCTGGCGGACCTCGCCGCGCCCGTGCTCGTCGTCGTCGGCGCCGAGGACGACGAGCTGCCCCTCGCGGGCTACGCGGGGCTCGGCGACGACGGCGCCTGCGTCGCGCTCTACGCCGTCGACGGCTCGGGCCACTACCCGCACGTCGAGCGGCCCGTCGACTTCGACGACCAGATCCTCGACTTCTTCGGCGCCTGCAAGAGCTCGTCGCAGTGCCCGGACGTCCGCGCGGGCGACGGCTTCGACGCGCTCATGTGCGCCGTGCCGGAGAACGCCTGCCGCTGCCCGAACGGCGGCTCGAAGCCCCCGACGCCGACGACGCCGCCGACGCCCGTCTACGCCTGCGACGACGTCTGCGCGGGCTTCACCTGCGACGAGTTTGTGCCCGCGACCTGCGAGCTCGTCGTCCTGGAGTACGGCTGCGACTGCGCGGGCTGCCGCTGCGAGCTCGTCAACGGCACGGCCCACGCGCTGCCCGAGGAGGCGGCGGCGGCGCCGACGGCGACGCCGACGCTCCTCTTCGAGGGCGACCCAGTCGCCGGCGAGTGGTTCGTCGCGGATCTGTCGCTGGACGACGCGAAGCGCTACGAGCACGTCTTCGTGGGCGCCGTCGCGGCCGCGGCGGGCGTCGACGAGCGCGCCGTCGCCGTGGAGCTCGCCGCGGCCGACCGCCGGCGCCTCGCGGACGACGGCGTCGTCGTCGCCTACGAGGTCCGCGTGAGCGACGACGCGCGCGACGACGTCTTCGCCAACCTGCAGAGCGTCGACTCTAATGACGCGGACGCGTACCTCCTCGCGGCCGCGGACGACTACGCGTACGCGGCCTTCTACTACGCTCGAACGACGCGCACGCTGGCCCTCACGGCGGCGCCGACGTCGGCCTACTGCGGCGAGGTCTGCGGCGGCGTGTCCTGCGACGACTACGCGCCCGCGACGTGCGCCGTCCTCGAAGCCGACTACGGCTGCAGCTGCCCCGGCTGCGACTGCGGCGTCATCGCGTTCGCGAGCCGCGCGAACCACTCCAACGCGACGACCGCCCCGGGCGGCGGCGCCTGCGTCGACGACGGCGGCTGGTTCAAGACGGACCACGACCAGGACTGCTCCTGGGTCGCGGAGAAGCCCGAGAAGCGCTGCGACAAGGCGGGCTGGTACGGGACTCTGGCGTCCGACGCGTGCTGCGCGACCTGCGCGGGCCACGAGGCCGCGGCGACGATCGTCGACAAGGTCGTCGAGACCGTCGCGGGCCTCTGCCCCCAGCTCTGCGAGGGCCTCACGTGCGCGTCCTACAGCAAGCAGACGTGCAACATCGTCGAGCAGGACTACGGCTGCGACTGCGCGGGCTGCCGCTCGGAGTGCGCCGAGCTGTCGCGGGCGCTCAACACGTCGGCGCCGACGCCCCGGCCGTCGCACAAGCCCACGCGCGCGCCGAGCGAGGCGCCCTACTGCAACGACGGCGACCTGCTGAACGACGCGAAGATCGTCAAGCGGGACCTCTGCGGCGGCTTCCGGACGCTGGCCCAGTGCTGCGAGAGCTACGCGAAGCAGGGCTGGTGCAGCTCGCGCTTCGGGAGCTACGGCGACCTCGAGGGCCACTGCGAGAAGACGTGCGGCTTCTGCTACGACCCGCCG